AACGAATTAATTATGACCATTTAACGCGATTCAGAATTAAAAACAAAACAAACAGTGCCTTATGCATCAGCAACCAAGCCAGCCAAGCCGGCGGAGGAAAACAGCGCGGCTCAGCACACGACTCGGTGCGCGGCTCAGAGCACGGCGCCCGTGCGTGGCGCGGAGGGCGCGCGTGCGTGGACAGCGCCGCTGACGCACGCGTGATGGTGCGTGCAGGCGCGTCAGCAGGGCATCCGGCGCGTGGGAGCGCGTGGCTGCGAGTGGGACGCGTGGAAAACGGCTCACGACGTCAGGTGGCGCGTGGTCTGCACGCACCGCCTTCCAGGGTGTTTTCTGGTCCGATTTTTGTACTGCCGGACTCCTTTTTTCAAAATAAAAATATTTATGGCATTAAAAATGATATTTAGACAACATAAAATTGAGGTATATCACTCTCTCAATCTAATGGAGTTAAAATGCAAAAAAGAAAACCATGCATTTCATCTTCCTCCTCCATTAATATTCATGCACATATCATGTATATATATTTATATAAAAAATATACACATATTTTAATGCATAAAATAAGCACGAAAATACCCATATTTATTGCTCTGATACCAATGATTTACCCACGAGGTTCTATCATCTAAAGGTATGATTTAAATATTTTATCCGCTGCATTTTTATACTTTGATTTACATTTCACGTGCTTCCAGAATCTGATAAACCAATCCAGCAGTGAAGTGATATTACAGAATGAATATCACCCACACAAATCACAGTGCAAATGACTTGATTGTTGTTTTTTTTTTTGGGAGAGAGTCAGTATATGGGTAAAACTCAGATCATACGTTGTTTCTCTCTTTTTCACCCATAACCCATATACCAGATATATAATATGTTATTATTATCTATCCGTATCAGTTAATGGAGATAATATCTGTATCCTGAGTTGTTATCCTAAATAGGTTTGAATTCAATTTCAAAACCTATTTGGATAAGATTCAAATTCAAATACAAATGGTCATGCCACATGGGCGCCCATTACTAACAAGACAAAAAATAAACAATAAAAAAATACTTAAAAACCTATATCCAAATAACACCTACAAAAATGGAAGAAAAGTTTGTTGAGATTTGTCAAAATAGCATGTGACCATTGGAGTACCATTGCTATAATTTGGCAATTTACTACTATTCATTACCAAATCATAATGATTGTAACATTAATATAACAAATATTATTAGAGATGCTCTTAGTTGTAAAAAATAATAATAATAAATAAATAAATAAATAAAATCTAGTTTGTTTAGCTTATTTTATGCTTTTTAAACTGAAAGTGCAAATAAATTGAAAATCAAATTAGTGGAAGCAAATTACGTAGAACTACTAAAGCATGTGCTTTAAACTAAATAAGGACTACTAAAGCATGTGCTTTAAACTAAATAAGGTTTCGTTTAGGGTGGGTTATTTTAGTAATTTTTTGACATTTTATGAGAAGATGTGTAGAAAAATAAAAAAAAATATTTTGATAATTTATAATAATTTTTTGATTTTTTAACTAAAATTGAAAATTACCAAATGAGTCCTACGTTACAAATAAGCACGATATCAACCACGTCATAAAAAACAGTAGAACATTCTTGACACTAAGGGTGTGTTTGGTAACGTTTACGTTTTCAGTTTATATTTACAAAAATTTTATAAACTGATTTTTGTTTATTTTCATAAAAACATAAACTGCAAACGCGTTTGGTAATTGACAAAATGTTTAAAAATTTTAAAAAATATAAAAAGAGTGAGAAATAGCAAGTGGTGGCAACTGGCGTAGGAAGACGGTGGTGGAAAGTGGTGACGGTGGGTGATGGCGGGTGGGTGGTGGTGGTGTGTTGGTGGGTGACGAGCCTCACTTTGATTTCCTCCCTTATTATTTCCACCACCACCGCCGCCACCACCTTTCTTTCCTCCATTTCCATTCATACCCATACCCTTTAATTGAATAGGCTGATCAAAGCTACCACCTTTCTTGGCATTTCCACCCTTTTGTCCATTCATGACCTGGCCATTAATCATTCCATTTGGCCCATGGGGTCCATGCCCATTACCCATAATTGGTGGTTTATGTGGAACATCAAAACCATCATCATCTTCAAATTCATCATCAAACTCATCAAAACTTGAATCATCATCATCATGAGGCAAGTTGAACTTGACAGATTTCTGATCTTTGGAGGGAACCTTAGGATCTTTAGACCCTTTGGCATTTTGCATTTGCTGTTGTTGGAATTGTTGGCCACCCATTCTGTATACATCAAAGGATTATTTGTTTGTTCTACACAAAAGAGAGAGTTGTTCTTCGGT